AAACTACATGATCACAAAAATCTGCCTTTAGTTTCATATCATGTTTTTATTGATGAACCACCTATGCACCACCCTATGATAATATTGGGATGGAATTGAATACCACACTGCTATGACCTTTTCCTCCAAATTATCAATATTTGTAGGTTTATTTAAAGAATTATACAATCGTCTTTCAACTTCTTGCTACATGAGTTCCATTGAACTTATATCTGGACTTTGGGCAAGCCAAGGAAGAACGGGAATACCAGCTTGTTCAAGAACTTCTTTAAATTTCCAATATTTATGAGGGGTAGCACCGTCTTGCTAAAAAATACCTTGCTCATCAGAAACTAGATGTTGTATAGTAGGAATAGCATGGTTTACTATAAGTTTAGCATAAACTTCACCATTTGCATTGCCATGAATGGAGACTATCAGTCCTAGTCCATGTTATGAAAAGCAAGCTCAGAACATGAGACTAGAGTTATGATTTATAGTAGAACCTAGGCGCAATTCATCAAATTCTTCATTGAGAGTACACTTAAAATTGGACTCATCCGATCAAATAATATTATACCATTTGTGATTCCAATTTAAATGGTTTTTCACATTAGATTCACCATGGCTACGGTCATAAAGGATTTTAAGCTGAAGGTTAGATATTTTTTTCCTTTTTGCCACTATGATACAAAACTTTAGAAGCTAATTCTATTCTAATCATTCTTTTATAATCTTTTGTTTTTTTTTTTTTAACATAATATGTCTAATTTATTAGACTCATAGTATGTTTTATTTGCATTTATGTAATTAGTGCTTAGAAAGATAATGCTATTTAGTATTATATGAATTTTCATAATATAATTTTCATACTCAAATAATAGCTTTGATAATTTGCAAAAGTAATTTTAAAGAAGTATAATATAGTTTACTTTTCAGCAAAAAAGTATATCCTCAAGTCTTGCATCATTAAAATAATTTGTAGATTTACTCTATAGTATTCTACACTATTAATAGTTACAAGAAGGTACAAATATTTTAAATTATACATTTTGGTTAGAGATGAAAAAGACATGTATGTATATATGTACTGGTATATAATTACTTATTATATAAAAAATTAAATCACACTATGCGACAATTTACTAATAATACTGTATATACTTAAAACTAACAACATATCTAAATTGTCTTGTATGTAGTGAACAGAAGGGAACGTACCTGATCCAAAGTGAATCCTACATATGGTGTGATCAATTAAAACTGAAATTATTTATATTAGTTATAATTGATCATGCTGTGTATAGGATTCACTTTGAATCGGGTACATTCCTTCCTGTTTATGTAGTATAATTTAATTGTTATGCAATAAGTAATTACCTTGTCTATCTTTAATTTTGACAAATAGTTCATCAATATAGAGGTATGTGTTGTACTATATGAATGTTGCAATAAATATTTATATATTCTAAGTGCTGTCTTTAATACCGAAAATCATAAAGAGTATTATA